GCGAGCATATCTCCAATAAGCCGTATAGCGCGAGTAGTGGGCGCGTGAGCGCCGCTCCTGGTGCGCGCCGGCGGCCGCCACAGAAGACGAGGCCGCCGCCGCGATGCCACCGTCCCCTCCACATCATAGCCCAGCCGCTTCGAAGTCAATAACCCCACTCTGCTTAATATCGTCGGGCTATCTATTTTATTATGGATGATTGCGAGGTAGAATGTTATCAACTGCATAGTCCGCCTAAGTTTAAGAGTGTCCAAAGCCACCATACCAGTAACAAGTAAGGACGGATATAGATAGGGGTAATAACCGTAATTCTGCTTATATAGCCATCGTGCAAATTTGCGCTATAGCATAGCCCATAGCAAAATACCATACGACATTATGCTATGGAAATAGCTAAAGTAAACTAGTCTAGCTCTTTCAACACTAGTAAGACTTCTTTTCTACTACTAATCTACTAAAAGACTAATCTTTTTTACAGCATATGCTGCAGGAACTAAGTCTGCTTGCTGGTTTTGATATATCCCCCATATACACTCCACTGAAGCTTCGCGTCTAGTGTGATTCCAAGAAAAATGTTGGAATCTACAAGAGTCAGTTTCTCCCCATTCAAAATTACATTAGTATTTGTTTGACACGACTCCTAATGTCAAACAATTAAATACTAATCATCAAATCATAAATTTCGTACATGTCGTTTTAGTGCCATTTAAATGCAAATTATTAACATTGCACCAATTTACTAATTTAGATATAGCATTATTTACTTCGTCATATTTTAGTAATTGTCGTCTTAATTTATATATTAAAGAAGTGTCTTTAGCAAATAATACTATATCATGGTTATCCCCTACTATGTAAGGTAAGTCATTAATGTAAACAATAAACAGAAAGGGGCCGAGAATTGAGCCTTGAGGCACGCCCATTTGTACTATTGACCCGGAAGAGCTCATACTGTTAATGACAACTTTTTGCGTTCTGTTACTTAAATATGAAACAATTAATATAAGAGCATTACTTCTGACACTGTAGTGTTGTAGTTTTCTGATTAATGTTTCATGGTGAACACAATTGAAGGCTTTGGATAGGTCACAAAATATACCCTTAGCATCCTGTGAATTCTCCCATGCATTGAAAATATATTTAATCAGCTCAACACCAGCATCAGTTGTCGAGCGAACCCTTGTGAAACCGAATTGATTTTTATGGAGTTAACTATTTACATTAAAAAAATTTAACATTTCAGCAAGAATAATTTTTAAAAAACCTTACTAAGTGTTGGCAGTATAGAAATTGGTCTAAAATTGGCGGGGTGTAATGTACTAACGGATTTATATAAAGGTAAAAAACACACCCTATTCGATACTAGTATTAAAAATAATAGCTATTTGAGGTGCGATTATATCTATTATAGACGCAATAAATTTAAAATCCCCCACAGATCTGCAGTTTTCTTAATATCAATAGTTTTAAAATATTTTAAAATATCTTTTGATGATATTTTATGAAATGTAAAATTCTTTGTACACACATTTACATTTTGTTTAAGTAATGATTCGGCGACGGCAGGAGAAGAATTCAGTGACTTAGTGGTCAAGATCGGAATATCAGTAAAATATTTCTCAAAAACCATTGCTACGTCCTGATCTGATACAATTAATTTGTTGTTAACACTTAACTGGTAATTTGAATTGCGAGAGTTGATCTTACCAGTTTCGCTATTAATTATACTCCATGTCATTTTAATTTTATTGGAAGCCGTCTTAATTTTGTTGCTCAAATGCAAAGACTTGGCTATGGAGCACACTCTTTTAAATATTTTTGAATATTTTTTTACTTATTCCCTAAATTCGACGCTATGATTGTATGAGCGATTCCAATAGTCACCTCGTAAGACACCCACAGGACAAAATGGAGTGATGGGTTCTCTTATACCGCTACAATATGGCAAGCAAAAACATACTATGAAGAGAGCTATATGTTTTTTTTATGTGACAAACGAGTACATAGTCCATTTGATAGTAAGTGCATGCTGTGGCCCATAGACATCTACATCTATTCTCGAATAAGAATTTAAGTGCAGATGCGTTGTCACTTCTGAGCACTGAGATGGAATGCCTTGTTTCCTGTAAACAGTGTCTTTGGGTCTCTGCACCCACCATATGAAACATATATACAGCGTTAACGATGATTCCTCCCTACAAACGGATAGGCTACTATCCAGCAGTGCACTTACACTAGCTAATGAAGAAGTTATTATGTATACTTACTTCAGAATTTTGTTGATTTTCTTTTGTTTGGGTCTGCTTCAAGTCAGCACCATCTTGGTTGTTCTGTGGACTAGTATTGTTATCAACCAATGGGATATCAGTAGTATTTTCTTTGTCTGTAATATTCTCTTCTTCTAACCAGTCGTCCAATTGAGCATACATGTCCTCAATTGTCTTATTCATTTTTGCATTTTCTTTTTCCTTTGAATCATCATCAAGGTCGGCAAGTCCATCATTTACATTTAGATAGACGGCAGCAGAAGAATTCAGTGACTCGGTAGTTTAGATAGGAATATCAATAAAATATTTATCAGAAACCATTGCATGATTTATTATGCTGCTATATTATTGCTGAGAAAAGCACTTTGCTCACTCGTCCTTAGGGGTCTCTACGACGGCATTTTGAAACGCAGCCACTGCTTCCTCGGTGCCCATAAAAGGTTTGCCTCGAAGTTTTTCTTTTATTTTCGGATATAAATAAAAATCGCAAGGTGCGAGGTCAGGGCTATAGGGCGGATTACCCAGTAATTCCACGTCTGACGTCGCCAAGTAGTCGATTGTTTGCTTCGCGGTGTGCGACGAGGCGTTGTCGCGGTGAAGGAGGATCCTACTGCGAGGTCGTTTCTCCCGAACTATTTCCAAGACAAGTGGCAAACAATTGTTAGTGTACCACTCTGCAGTAACTGTTTTTCGATCCTGTAAAACAATTGTTGCGTAATGACATGTCCTCCCAAAGAACGAGGCCACCATCTTTTTTCCCACGCTTCGACCTCTCTTCACTTTAGTTGGCAACTCCTCGGAAGGAAACACCCAGACAGCAGACTGTGTCTTAGTTTCAGGATCATAACAATAAATCTAACTTTCGTCACCCGTAAGTATGTCGGACACAGCATTTGTGTCACCTCCGTTAAATCTTTGAACCATTTCAGGACACCAATCAACACGACGGACTTTTTGGGCGTCTGTCAAATTATGAGGTATCCAACGGGCACAAAGCTTCTTGACCGCTAAATTTTTATGGAGGATTTTGTGCACTTGACTCATACCGATACCTAAGCTTGTCTGAATCTGCTGATAAGTCACTCTTTTGTAAGTCTATCATACGCCGCACAAAATTGATGTTATCTTCAGTCGTCGCCGTAAAAGGCCGTTCATCACGCAGATCTTCGGTGAGATTAGTGCGACCACGTTTAAACTCATTAAACCAGTTGTAAACAGTGGCACGACATGGGGCTTCATCATAAAAGGCCAATCGAAGTCTATCATAACTTTCTTGTTGACTTAAATGACATCGAAAGTCATAAAATACATACACACTCATATTGGCAGAGTTCCATTATATATCGTTTACAAGTGGTCAGTTCTAAAAACTTTCAGTGTCGCCCTGGTAGAAAAATCGGAAGATTATATTGACGATTGTGACAATAAAGCTTTCAGTTACGTTAATAGTAAGTGGAAAATGCAATCATTGAACAACTTTAACGAACTACAAAAAAATATTCAAGTGCGTTATTTCACCTCTCGAGGGCAAGAAGGAAACGTCTCATTGAGATATTTTTTAGCAATTTGGCTAATATATAAGGTCGGGGAAAAGTTTCTTCGTATTTTATATACAAATTGAAGACTTTATTAAAGTTTACTTATATTTAATTATAATACATACACACACATAATATATATATATGCCATTTTGACCAACAACTTGTTTCCATATTGTAGGTAGTGGCATAATCCCGTTGCTGTAGAAATATTGGAATTTATAATAAAAAAATGCGACACGTAGTTTTGACAGTCCTCTCCTGATATTAACCTAACACTACCCAAAGTATTCTGAAGAAACCGAAACAGGTGAAAATATGAGGGTGCAAGTTCCAGGACTACAGAAACTAGCAACCAGACTATTTAGCAGCAGGCTTTTCGAGACAGCTAGATTAGTTTATTTCAGTGAGCTCGTGTGATACCCAAATATCGAGCTTTTTTGTATAGCCAGACTTTTTAAAATGGGTCAAAACTGTTTGGTGGTCAATGCTCAATTCCTAGGCTATGTCGAAACTACTAATTTGCCGATCTTTCTCCACTTTTTCAAAAATGCCCTCGACTTTATTCTTATGAGGGCGATCGGATCGAGCTGCATCTTTGACATCGAAGTTCCCTGACTGAAAACGCTTGAACCAACTTTGTGATACTCTTACTAACACTGCATTAGGTCCATAACCGTCACTAATTCTTTTCGCGGCTTGAGTCCTATTTTTCCCTTTTTTGTAATAAAATTTCAGAATGTATCGAATTTCTTCGTTAGATTTACTCATTTTGGCGGGCAGAAAAGCAATAAAAAAATGACGAGATAGTGTTTTTACTTTGTATTTTTCTTCAATTTTATACAAACAAAATACGAAGAAACTTTTTACCCGGCCTATTAATTATTGTTTAAACATATTTTAATTCTTTTTTTTTACATTTTTTCAAATGTTTTTACAAATAATAGTTTTTTCAATATCTCGTCGCTATTAAAGAAAGGAAATTTTCCGAATTTAGACCAAGCTAAGCTCGTACTAACAAAGAGAGGAAATATTTAAAATAACATTGACACAGAAAGTAAAAAAACACAATGATGTGGCATAAAAACTAGGAAAATTTTATTACTAAATTTGAATTTTTAGTGAACTTATACCTAACATTGCAATTAACGTAAGAATAACAACAACAATGTTACATTTTGAAATGTGTGACGTCTCAATCTATACAGACTACACTTTCGTCATCCGATGTTGATATTTCCATATTGGTTACATCTAGCTTGTCTTCTAATGCAGCTTTATGTTGGTTTATAATTTCTTTTAGTTTTGCCACAGAATGATTCGATTTTACAAAAACTGTCTCGTTGCGATTATTATATGAATAATCTAAAATTAATTTTAGGTTAATAAGAGTCTCCAAAGATACCAAGTCCACGTCAACACTGTAGTTCATCCTTTGCTTATGATGTGCGGAAATAAAGCCGTTCTTCCATAAACCAAATTTCAGACCTTTAACACCACGGTTGCTCAACTTCAGCTTTTCTAATACATTTTTGGGTGTCAAATTTGGCTCATTGGGCAAGGACATCGTTATGGATATGAATTTAATATTGCTATCATCAGCGCCATAAACAGTGATAAATTGTCGTTTGATATTTCCAAAGTACATCATATTAAGCCATTTTCTTGATTCTTCGTTTTCTGGGATTACACATAAGTAGCCTGGCTTACAGTATCCGTACTTCAGAAAATCAGTTTTGCTTTTTCCGCCTTGTTGTAGATACTTATACATGTGATAAATTATTGATTCCTTAACTTTTTGTGCTGTCTGGAGATGTATGGGAGTGGTGCCATTAAAACAAAATTTCACTATGTTTGGATCTTGGCTATTGATTGCTGGCATTGGTGTGTTCCGTTTGTATAGATCCGGTGTGACTATGATTGATTTTTCATCCAGACCAGCATCGAATGCGTTTTTATCAACGGCATCCGCTTTAAGGAAAACTGTAACTTTCGATAGTTCATAGCTTAGAGTCATTTTATGGGTTTCCAGGGCACGAGCCGAAGACGGCGGCATGTCGACGTACAACCTGGTTCCTTTCTCAGTAACTATTTGCTTGACAAGCTTCCACTTATCGATATTGAGATTTGTCAAGTACCGATTTTGCAGTTTCAGTTTGTCCAACGGTGATAACATTTGCAGCCTCGAATGATCTGGAAGCCAAATCGCTGCGCGCTCGTGCCAAAGCTCCTCGGACGTGTAAACCAACACATTAAAGAAAGAGAAATCATTGAAGTCTAATTTCAACAGCCAATCTTTAGATTGTTCATCGCGAGTCCAAACTTCGTAACGTAATTCATTTTGCAGTCCTCTTAGCGTTAAATCTGGTGCCCAAGCGTTAGAAGACTCAGTCTCCTGGATTATTTTACTAATGATATAGTTCTTTAAATAGTCCGCCTGCGTTTCGTTGAAAGCCTGAAAATTGTCCTTGCACAAAAACAACTGATGCCCCTCCTGCGGCAACATAGGCTCCAGCTCAGGTTGACTCACCGAATACGGCATGGGAACCATCATCGGAACTGGTGCCATGATGGGCATCTGTTGAACTAATGCCGGCGCCGGAACCATAACACTTTCAAAATTCATATTCCAATCTGAAACTGCGTTTTGAAGAATAACATAACATCAAACAACTGAGACTCTAAATACATATAAGTTAATGAACAAGTAAATTATTGATTTTTGATAAAAAATTAACTTACGTCTAGATTCCACGGCTGGTTCGATCATATCTGTAAAGATATGAAAATATTAATTTTATGAGGAGCAAGTATCCGAGAGTGACAAAATCCTCCGTATAGCTGAAGAGGGTAATATCCAGCGGTGAACTTCTACATACTGATGCAGAAGAAAAAGAAAGTATCCATAATTAATAATAAAAGTACAGAATAAGTTTAACAATAAAAATATAAAAAAATTAAATACAAACCAATGTGTTTTAATCTTTTGGCAAGGTAAAAAGCAAGTAAAGTAATTCTAAGGAATATCAATTCTTATTTATTGAAACAGCATGTCGTTTGAGGAAGCTCAAAGTAGCTCAGCGAGCTATAGAGAGGGCTATGCTCGGGGTTTCTCTGCGTGATAGACTTAAAAATGGATATCCGCAGTAGAACCAGAGTAACCGACGTAGCCCAACGGATTAGTAGGCTGAAGTGGCAATGGGCCGGCCATATGCTCGAATAACCGACTACCGATGGGGAAGAAAGGTTCTCGAGTGGTAGCCTCGTACCGGCAGGCGAAGTGTAGGGCCTCCGTCCTCTAGATGGAGTGACGACATCAAGGAATGCAAGTGGCTCGGGACCGTGTTTTGTGGCATTCCTTGGGGTTGGCTTATGTTCAGCAGTGGACTTGTGATGGGCTGTAATGATAATGATGATGATGATGATGATGATGATTCATTGAAGTTACGAACTATTATATTGCTAAAGACAGAGAAATATATATTTTACCTTGTTTTATGTTGGGGCTACGAGAACGCCTTTGTATTTTTTTAGCAGGAATATGCGACTCATCTGAAATACAGATGATATGATATATTGATTAATTATTAACTGTAAGCAATCGGATATTTTAGAAAAAAAACCACATATTTACTTATAGTTAAATAACATATTTATTATAGAATAGAATATAATAATGATTTCTTATATTTACGCGAACACTACACATTGAATAAAACTACTTTTACGGATTTTACCGCGTTTAATTATTTTATATTCCCGACGTTTCGGTTGCTTTCCATCAACCGTGGTCACGGGGGACTGAGGTGATTGACGTCCCGATGTCAGAGTTAACCCGGAGTACCTTCAGTTTTTAATTATTAATTTTGGTCCGATCTACGCAGAATGAACTAACTGTGTCTTGAAGTCTTGCAGTGGTATGCTTGGGTTTAGTTTTAATTTTATGAATTACTTAATTTAAATTTATTTTTAGGATAATACTGTCAGTAAATTTGCAGCAGCCTTATAATCGATATTTAGCAACTTCTGTAATTTTTGTTTACATGCATGTTTTGGTAGAGAGTAAATTAATAAACGTTTATTCAATTTATTATAAAGGTAACCCCCCAGGAAACAGAAAAATCTATGTGAAAATTGGGTCTTTAGACATTTACTGGGACAAACTACATATTTCCTTCTTTTGTCATTATTGGAGGACTCATACTGTATCATAGAATGTTGCAGTAGCGCAGTGTGTAATATAAACAATTTGCGAACAGATAAGACACTACACTGTTGATAAAGGTCAGTTGTAGGGAAAAGGAATGGTAGAGAATTGCTAACTTTTAATACCGCCCTCTGGGCCCTTTCTAATTGCAATATGGATGTTTTAGGTGCGCCTCCCCAGATGGTAATACAATATGTCAACAATGATTGACACAGTGCAAAATATACCATATTTATTACATTAAGATCTGCAACACGACGTAGATTTAAAAAAATATAAATTAACTTACGTATCCTTGTACTTAAGAGGCCAATATGAAAGTGAAAGCTAAGGGTGTTATCTATCATTACGCCGAGATATTTTATGTAATCCGTTCTAGAGAGTGTAGGACAGGAGCAAGAGCTATCAATTTGGAAGCAACAGTGAGCTGTAATGTGGAAGTATTCTAATTCAGGTACATTGATGTTTTTTGTATTATGTATTTTGTTTTATCGACATTTAATGTAAGTTTATATTCTTTTAGCCATTTATTTACTAAATCAAACCCATTTTGTGCGAGGTTAAATACCTCAGACCATGTATCTGCCTGGAAAAGAAGAGCCATGTCATCCGCAAAAGCAATGATCCTCCCATTGTGAATTTTTACATTACACAGGGAATTAATATATGTAAGAAATAGCGTTGGACCAAGTACACTACCCTGTGGTACACCATATGATACGGGAAGATCATCACTGCAGCAACCACCAATCCTTACCCTCTGATATCGACCCGTTAAATAGTCAGAGAACAGTTTCAGCTGTGTATTTCTTATTCCAAGATCTTCTAGCCTATTCAACAAAAGCGGAACGGAGACAGTGTCAAATGCTTTAGCTAGATCAAGGAATATAACAATTACTTTCTTTTTACGGTCAAGGTTTGTAACAATGAAATCAGTTAGTTCATGTCCTGCATCCTGTGTAGAACGTTTTGATCAAAATCCATATTGGCAATGTGATAACAGATTATGTTTCTCTAAGTAATTAGTCAAGCGCTTGTTGATTACTTTTTCTAGTATTTTTGACACAGTGGGAAGAATGGAAATGGGTCTTTAATTATTGACACAGCCCGCATCACCGCTCTTGTAAATAGGGTGAATTTCAGCTAGTTTAACCCTTTAGCTGTCCCGTGCACTACATATAGGTCATTGCGATTGTCTTACTATTGTGTCTGAAAACCGGACAGTGAGTGTTAAAACAGTTGGGGAATTTACCAGTTTTAAGGGAAAGGTTACATAAATATGTAATGGGAGGGACTAGTAAATTTCTGTACCTCTTTAGAAGGAAAGTGGAAATATTATCTCTACCTACGCTATAATCAGTTTTCATATTTAAAATAACTGTCTCTATTTCATGTTCGCCCGTGTCAAGAAGTATTATGGAATGCTGATATGTGTTTATAGGAAAAATGCTAGAAGTGTTGTTATTAATGTGGTGTTTTTCTGCCAAAGATTTACCTATATTCACAAAAAATTAATTAACATAATTAACTGAAGTTTTGGGGTCAGATTTGTTTAATAATTTATCGGCATTATTATGTTGTTTATTCGTATTTGTGACTATTTTCATTGTGTTCCAAAGTTTTTTATTACTTGTTTTAACTGCTGCTGTTAATTCTGATTTTTCATATTCCTTTTTCAGTTTTTTAAGTAGTTCATTACAGTAATTACGTTAACGTTTGTATGTAGTTATGATCATGCGGATATTTTTAACATTTTTGGTGTAATTTGTCACGATTTCTTAAGCATCTCAAAATACCTGGGGTAATCTAGGGCTTTTTAATAATTTTGCGATTAGAAACTTTAATTGTTTATGTATTAATTTTTAAAGCATTACTTAAGGATTCTAACAGGAATGTAGCTGCTAAGTCAACGTCCACCATAGAATAAATACTTTTAAAGTCTAAAGTGCTAAGGTAACTATCTAATTTATCATAATTTATACGTTCTCTAATTTTTGGTGGCAAACTACATGTACAAAAAAGTAGCCTCAAATAGAAATATAAGAGTATCATGATCAGTAATGGAAGTCTCCGCAACGTAGCAGGTTGACTGTAGTTTTGTTTTCAATATAACGTCATCTAGACACGTTTTGCCATGGGTAGGGAAGGTGTGAGCAGGTAACATACCTTTAGATGCTAGACTATTTAAGTAATATGAAGCGTACGAGTCTTTACTATGTATAACAATATCTATATTAATATCGCCAATAATAATTATGTTTTTATAATGTGAATATTGATCGAGAATATTACTAAGCGATTCAATAAAATTTGTGGGATCCTTAAATCCAGGTGGTCCTATAAATTACAATGACTATAGAGTCCTTACATATTTTTAGAAAAATATAATTACAATCTGATATTGAAAACTCCTGCCAGGTTATGTTCAAAGATTTTTTGAAATACACTACTACACCCTCATTTTGGGTTGCATTATTAAGAGTTTTACAATAGTTATAGCCATCCATTATTGGAATATAGTGGGTGGACGGCAACCAACATTATGTAAGAAAAATAAAGTCCCATTCTAAAGCTGTCCTATGTATTAGAACTAAGTTCATCCATGTTGCGAGTTATGCGTCTAATGCTTTGATGCATTATTTTTAAGTTACAATTTTGATTAAATACCTAGACAAATTCTCCAGATCATAAAGTAGTGATGAGTTTGATATTGAAAATTGGTCAAGATCATCGCTTAAGTCTTTTGTGCCTTTTAATTATATTAGTAATTAAGACCAAATATTTAAATTGTGTGCAATAAATATGTAAAGCAAACACTATAAGTAAGTGCCTATAACTAAGTATTTGGGATTTACTTAAATACGTTGCATAGTGCAATTTAAACTCAAATTCTTTTACTAATAGTATAAAATAAACAATTGGAGTGATACTGTTAATTTTAAAGCTAAATGCATAGTATATTCAAAATAATAATTACGAGTGTGTGTTTACTAATAATATACGAATTTAAAAATTTAAGGATGTTTAAGTCACTTAGTGGAAAATACTTTACCCTAATGTATATGTAGACTTCGACGATGATAAATTAGTTATCATCCATTTCGAATAAAATAGCGATCGGTTGTAGTGCGCAAAAACAATTAACATATTTCTGAAAAATAAGTATTGCAAAACAAAGTAATATAAGATTATTATTAAGGTTGAGAGGCCAAGAATTGTAGCATATAACTGAAGTATTTAATATTTGTTAATCTTAAGTGTCAAAGTAATGTGTAAGTGTGAATTATGTGAAAAAATTAAGAAATGTAAGCAAATGCAAATTTATGTATATTAAGGTTATGTATTCAGGTGTCAGTGATAGCATATAAAAAGGTATCTGCGAAATACGTTTATAAATTAGTGTTAAAAAAATTATAATTAAACAAAAAACACATATAAAATTTTGAAAACAATCAAACATGCATATTTTATGACAACCTATAATATAAATGAGTAAATGTAGTCATTTTTTATTAATGTTTTCTAGGTCGCTTTCGCTATTAACCCTTACAAATGGTGCTCTATCCTTCTTCCGAAGATATATTTTACCTCTTGATGTTCCACAGTATTTAAAGGCTTTATTCTTAGCAAATTCCTTGGCAAAAAAGAAGTCTCTTCGCCTTAATTGTCAAACTTTGAAAAACTTTGACGAAAATTGGTTCGGGTGGTCCATCAAGGTTTAAGTTAGAGGTATTTAACTTGCAGGTCGTATTTTTTGTGTTAAATGCCTTGACAGATTCAACTATTTTATTCTTTAAGAGCACACTTGAAAATTCCGTTACTATGGGCTGGTTCTTTACTTTCTTATTGTTTATGCGATGGACGTCACGGACGTCTTCCGGTTGAATTGGTACACTGATAGCAGCTCTTACTTTTTTAATAATATTTAGCAGGTCTTCTTTCGATTCCCCGATTTTTTGGGTAAATTACGCACTTCAAATGCTCGAGCTGCGATGATGATGCTCTAACTGCTCCAGTTTAATCTCCAGAGTCTGTATATATTTGTGATTGGTGGATTTTTCCTGTTCTAAGAAATTTATTCTTGAGAGTAACTCATCATATTTTTTACTTAAAAAGTCAATAGCACTAGAAATAGCCTTATTTTGATCTGTGTGGGTGTTAATACCACTCTGAACTTTATCCATCAGGACGTTAAATTTAGCGTTTTGTTCCTTTTTGAGCTCAGAAAACATTTCCATAATTTCCGACTGGCTAATATCGGTACCTCTCTTACGTTTCCGCATTGCAATGTTAGGATCACTCGTAGCTTGTGTGCGTGAAACGGTAGGCACTGCAATACTACTAC